ATTGTAAACTGGTCCAAACACTCTGTAAATCAATCTGGAGGTTCCTCAGAAAATAGAAAATAGACCTACCTGAAGACCCAGCTATACCACTATTGGGCATATACCCAAAAGATGCCCCCACCACAGGGGCACAAGCTCCACTATGTTCATAGTGGTCTTATTTGTGATAACCAGAAGCTGGAAATAGCCCAGATGTCCAACAACAGAATAATGGATACAGAAAATGTGGTTCATTTACACAATGAAATACTATTCAGCTATTAAGAATAAGGGGATCAAGCTGGTAAAATCACTCTGGAAATCAGTCTGGCAGCTCCTCAGAAAATTGGATATAATACTACCTTAGAACCCAGCTATACGACTATTGGGCTTATACCCAGAAGATACTCCAACATGTAATAGTGACACACGCTCCACTATGTTCATAGTAGTAGTATTTACAATAGCCAGAAGCTAGAAACAACCCAGATGTCCCTCAACAGAGGAATGGATACAGAAAATGTGGTACATTTACACAATGGAATACTACTCATCTATTAAAGACAATGACTTCATGAAATTTGTAGGCAAATGGATGGATCTAGAAAATATCATCCTGGGTGAGGTAACTCAGTCACAAAAGAACACACAGGGTATGTACTCACTGATAAGTGGATATTAGGCAAAAAGCATGGAATACTCAGGATACAACTCGTGTACCACATAAATGAAGCTCAAGAGGAGGGAAAACCAAAGAGTGGAGGTTTCAGTCCTACTTAGAAGTTGTAACAATATAAGCAAGGGAAATAGAGAGTCAAAGGGACTTGGGAGGAAGTGGGATGAAGAGGGACAGAATCAGATATGAGAGGAGATGGAGGAGATGTATAGAGGGTCAGAAAATTGAACAGAGGTGTGTAGCAATGGGGGATAAGAAACTGGGGATAGCAACAAGAAAGTCTTAGATGCCAGGAAATGATGAGGGAGAACCTTTCAAGATCATATCCAGAGGTTAGGCATGGCCCCTAAGTTGAAGGATGGGGCCACTCACCCATCTCCAAAATTTTAACTCAGAATTGCTTCTGTCTAAAGAAAATACCAGGCCAAGGAGTCAAGCAAAGAGTAAAGGAATGTCCATCAAGAGACTATTCAAATTATGGAACCATTCCACATGCAGACACCAAATCCAGACACTATTGCTGATGCCAAGAAGTTCTTGCTCATGGGAGCCTGATACAACTGTCTCCAGAGAGGCTCTTCCAGATACTGACCAATACAGATGTGGATCCTTGCAGCCAACCATTGGACTGAGCACAGGGACCCAAAAGGAAGATTTAGGGAAAGGACTGAGGAGCTGAAAGGACCTTATCTGGCATCAATGGGAGGGGAGACCCTTGGTCCTGTGAAGCCTTGATGCCCCAGTGTAGAGGAACATTATGGCAATGAAGGGGTGGGGTGTGGGGGGGAAACACCCTCAAAGAAGCATGGTAAGGCAGGATGGGATAGAAGGTTTGCAGAGGGGAAACTTGGAAAAAGTTCAACATTTGAAATGTAAATAAATAAAATATCCAATTTTTTTAAAAGGAGAGTACCATGAGTTTTGCAGGCAAATGAGTAGAACTAAAAAATATTATAGGAAAATTTTTACATCTTAGAAATAGACTCTAAAATCACTTTTCCCAGTGTCCCTTTTAATTCCTGCTACTTCAATTTGCAGGCTGAAAGTTTGAACCAAGCAATCACTTCAGAGATAGAACAAAGGCTACTTTACTTTCCTGCTGTTTTAGGATAAAATACTAAACATTTTCTCACCTGAGAGAAACTCAGAAGTCAGGTCAGCTATTAAAGAAAAGTGACTTAGAACTGAGGTAGGAAATCATTTTATTATTTTATTACACCAATCATTTTAAATTTTATTACTAAATTTCTAAATTAAGTCTTACCCTCATCAATACTCTTCCCCCTCTGATATCTCAAGAAGAACCAAGAGCAAGAAAGAAGACCAGCCACGGCTGGTCCCCAGAAGGAAGGCATAGAGGAGGAAAGAAATGTGTGGTTGATATGAAAGAAAAATCTTCTTTTCAATTTAAAAATAGTATCTTAACATGAGAGGAACATGTACCATTCCTTGCACAGGTAGCCCTCCTTCCCCTTTCCCTCTGTGAAACCAGCACCACTATCAGAGACATGTGCCTCTTGTACATACCACAGGTAGCCTTATTCTCCCTCTGGAGCCCCAATTCTGATGTCTGATGATCTGAAGAAAGCCTTTCACTTTTTCTACAGATGGCCTCATGTCCCCTTCCCATCTGAGGACACGGCCAATCTCTTTCTTTCCTTGCTTTACAGGCAGTTCTCACCTTCCCCTTTCTTGAGATCCTAATATCACCACTGAAGACCTGGATCTAGAGCTGGTGCATGAGTAGGCCTCATCTCTACTTTCTCTGACACTAATATCTTGATTTCTGAGGAGCCCTGGGAAGAGACTGCTTGTTCTATATAGTGTCCAGTAGCAACATAAAATTCAGTAGCTTTTCCTAACTAAGCAAAGGTAATATCTTCATTCCCATTCATGAGGCAGCACTGAATGTCCCCAAGACTGAACTTCAAGTGCACACACATACATGCACATAATTTTTTAAACACACGGAGTTTTAGCAAACATAATTTATAGTTTTGTTGTCTCCAAGAAACTCACCTCATCAAATAAAGATAAAAATATTAACAGATGGACATAGAGTTTTCCAAACAAGTGGAACAAGGAAAAAACCAGGTATTTCTCTTAATAGCTGAGAAAATAAATTCAAACAAAGCTAATCAGAATGGATAAAAGGGAGGTGGGCATTTTATTCTAATAAAGGGAATGAATAGCCCATAAAGAGCACAGAACAATTCTAAATACATATACGCCAAGCTTAGACATGCCTGATTTTACAAAACAAACACTACTAGAGACAAAGCCATGAGTTAGTCCCTCACAGCAATAATGGGCAGCCTCAGTGAGTCACTTTCATCAATGATCAAGGCATTTATAAAAAGTGAGCAGAAAACACTGAAGTTCATCATCAATCAAATGGTCCTATAAGACATCCAGAATTTTTCACTAAAACACTAATTAAAAGGTAAATGTTCTTTTTCAGAAGCCCATGAATAGTTCTCCAAAATAAACTAGTTATGGAAGCACAGAGAGAATCTCAAAAAGATAGAAAAGTAAAATAACTCATTATTTTGTATCTGACCACAATGGGATAAGGCTAGATATCAACCACAATAGAAACCACAAAGAATATAGTCATTAGACTTAAACAGCACACCACTGACTAACAAATGGATCATTGAAATGAAACTTCAAAAGAAAAGAAAACATTTTTGAATGGAATAAGAATAATGCAACACAGTATAATCTTTTGGCGACAAGCAAGGCATGCCTAAGAGGAAAGTTATAGTGTGAAATGCCTACATCAAGAAAATGAGAATCCAAATGAATAACTTAAGGACATTCTATAAGGTGTTGGTAAACAAGGACAAAACAAACTCTAAAGGCAGTAGACAAGGAGAAATAGTCAAGACCAAGATAGAAATTAGTGAAATGAGAATGAAAGAAAATGAAATGTGGCATTGGTTCTTTAAAAAGATAGACAAGCTTGATAATCTTTTAGCCAAATTGAGAGAGAGAGAGAGAGAGAGAGAGAGAGAGAGAGACTAAAATTAACAAAATTAAACATGAAGATAGAAAAATTAAAACAAAAACTAATGGAATTCAGAAAATCGGGAGGAAATATCTTTAAACTTCATATTTGACTAATTTGAAAAATCTGATAGAAATGGAAAATTTTTCAGACGTATATGTATTAAAGTTTGTTCTTGCTGTCTATTATAATGCAAAGTGTAGGCCACCAAGACTTGGATTCTACTTATAATCCCAAGTAACCGTGTGCCCAAATTATTTCTGATTGGTAAATAAAGATACCAACAGCCATTGACTGAGGAGAAGAAATACAGAAGGGGTTTAGGTTTCCCCAGTTTGGCTTGGGGATTGAGAAGAATCACAAGAAGGTGGAAGATGAAGGAAAAGTCACAGTGGGTTAGATAAGTATTAAAATGTGTCCCTGTGGACTGGCCAATTGGAGTTGAGAGCAGGCCAAATAAAACATAATAAGTAATGAATAATAATATGGGGTTATCAATAGAAAAATAGATTCTAATATCATAGAGGATAGATATCTGCCCAACACAAGTGCTGTTTTAGTGGTATCTCAAATATAAAACTTATGTATAACTTTTATCCAGAAACTAAATGATCAAAGGCAGGGAAGAAACCTCAGATTTGGATTCAAATTTTCTACAATACATATGACCTATCAAAATAAAACCAAGATGTCATAAATAGTTCAAACTGATCTGACACCAAAATGATTTTGAAACAATTATAAAATTTCTTTCAATTAAAAAAATAACCCAGGATTAAACAGATTCACTGTCGAATTCTCTCAGACCTTTAAAGAATGCCAGTTCCACTCAAATTGTTTCATTAAATAGAAATGGAGGGAGAGATTCTAAACTCTTTGTAAGAGGCCAAAATTGCCATGTGCTGTAAGATCTAAGCTCTAATGCCAAAGAGTGAAGAAGGCCATGAGAGGGGTTGATCTATGTAACTTGTGAGTAGGAAGAGTAAAGGTTGTGTGTGCCCTTCCCCCAGCCTTGAGCAGGCCTGAAAGACCTTGTTTACCACAATAGGCCCAAAATAATAGGACCCAGGTGGTGTTACCCACCTTGGCTGCACATGCAGCCTGCTACAGGAACATAGAAAAACAGACTGTATGCTGAGCTTGCCTTGAGACACCTCTGGCTGTGACTAGGATGGGTTCCCCTCACCCACACTGGCTGAAGCAAGAAGGGGTTTGGTGGTTGGAGTGGGGCTCCCCCTTAAAATTGAGAGCTGAACATTAAAGCATTAAGCCTTGATCAGAGAACTTTGTCTTGGCTCCATCTTTTCTTGCCCTCCATCCATCTTTTATTCCCAGATGCCCTTTCAGATGAATCCAGTTGATCCATGGCTGCAGATAGCTATAGATGGCGCCACATTAAGGGGCCTGAAAACGGAAACCAGCTGAGGAATGCTGTCTTGGGTGGAACCCCACAAAAAATGGAACAAGAAGCAGAATATCCTGCGCACTTGGTAAGCAGTGAATAGCATTGATACTAGTGCTAGTTATTGTTATTTCTTGGGGACTGAGTTTGCAGGAAATGTGTTTATGGAGATACAGTCTAGGTTAAATAGGTGTTGACCCAACACCAACCTTACCTAGGAGGTGACAGTGAATTATGGGACCAGAGAATTCAGAATAGGCATTTGCCCCGCAGCCTAAGAGCTACCCCAGGTGAGAGGAGCAGGGTTAGAAGGAATTGGAAAACTAAGAAAGCAGGGCACTAAGGTGTTACTATCAATAACTGCTGCTACATCTCCAAAAGAAAAAGATGAAAAGTTAGATCTTGAATAATGGGGGGGGGGGTTGAGAAGAGCAGTTGTCCTCTCTGAGCTGTGTCAGTTAAAAAGAATGAAAAGGCTGTTTCAGAGTTCTTCTAGGAACAGGAGAAAATTCAGGAGCTGTCCTGAGTTTCTCTTTGGCTTCTAGAGGTCTTTGTTGTCTGTCTTTGGAGCTCCAATGTTCGTGTGTGTCAATTGTCTGGTTTTGTTTCATTGTTTGAATGATTGTTGTTTTATGCTTCATGTTTAAAAGACAAGAGTGTTAAAACTGCTTGATCCAACCCTTGACCTAGTTTAACTTCGTTTTATAGCCAGTCTTAATATGCACAGCAGAGGCTGAAAAGTTACCCTACATCTGTAGCTAAGAGTCGAGCTGAGCTGGAAAAGCCTTTCCAGGAATTGATTGTCGGGATAAGCTGCTTTTAAAGGGACAAGCAGCTTTTTGACTTCTATGAAAAGGAAGCTGAGAGTTGTTTTTCCTAGAAAATCTCTGTGACAAGGTGATTTTCTCTTGAAATTACAGCTAGAAAAGCAAGGAAATTTTGTTTAGTCTAAATATATAAGATGTGTAGCCACTTCATTTTTGTTTCTGATTAGTTTTAAAAGTGTAAATATGTTCTGCATGTCTTGGTTGTAGATTATTGGCCTATAAGTTATTAGGTATGATTAAAAATTTACAACCTTGCTAACAGAAAGTTGGCTTAAAACTGGTAACTCAGAGTTGGAGTCATTTAGAAACCAGATGTATAAAAGATTTAAAACAATATCTCTTTAATGAGATATTAAAAGCTGCACTATCATGCATTTATATATAAGAACTGACAGCAAACTTTATAACATAAAGGTAATCTACTTGGTGTTGATTTTAGAGAAAATGGATTGTTTACATTGTTAAAAATTGGTTTTGTTTCTCAAAATTATGGTTATATTCTAATGTTGCAAAATAAATTTAAAAATATAGTTAAACTGCCAGTATTCCGTTGGCTGCAGTTGGCAGTTAAATTGTGAGTTTGGGACATTTTTACTCGCCCATGTTTATAGAAGAGAGGAGACAGCACGTTGAGTTGAATCTTTGAGCCAGACCTCAGGATATAGGCCAGGATTAAGAACATTTACATTTGAATTAAGACAATGCACAGACTGGGCTTAACAGAAGCTTGGGTGACAGACATTTTTTGTCTTGGTCACCCTGACCAGACCCTAGAAATTGTTCAAGAATTCCAGAATTTGTTTATTGTCTTGCTTGTTCCTTGGGGGTAGGGGAGAGGAGTCAGCCTCAGACCCAAAGATATTTACAACAAACAGCTTATGAACCAGGAGTTATAAATATGATTATGCTGGAGGAATTAAAATGCCTTCATGGCATTATAGCTGTGCCTGCTAACAAAAGAATTGCTCTAAGAGTAAGAGAGGACAAGGTTGGCTTTCAAGAGGATACTCTCACTCAGCTACAAGGAACTGGTTATTGAATTAATCCAAAACAAAGTTCAAACAAGATTTATGAAACTAAATCATTACAGCCTGATTTGCCTACTCCAGCTGCCATTCTAGTAAATGCATATAGAATTATTGTAGATTTAGAAGATTGTTTTTATACCATTCCTTTACAGCCTGGTAAAGGTGAGAGGTTTACATTCAGTGAATTTGCGTGTAATTTTTGAGAGCCCATGAAGCGATATCATTAGGTTTGCCTCAAGGAATGCCTTACATTATATAAAAAATTTGTTGTTGCTTTAATACAAAAAGTTAAGAGTTTGAATCTTTCAGTGTATATTATTCATTGTATATTTTATTAGCTGATCTCTCTGAAGGAGTTTTTCTGCAAGCCTTTGCTCTCATATAACGAGCTTTAAAATTTTAGAGTGCTTGTTACTACAGAAAAGATTCAAAAGCAATATCTTTTCAATATTTGAGACCTCAGTTATATTTTAAGCAGATTATGGCACAGAACTTTCCAATAAGAATGGACTGTTGAAGCTGGAGAGATGGATGGCTCAGCCATTAAAGTCTAGGTTTACAACCAAATATATTAGAGTTCAATTCTCACCAACCACATGGTGGCCCACAACCATCTGTAATGGGATCTAGTGCCCTCCTTCTGGCATGCAGGTGTATATGAAAAAATGGTTTACTTTTAATGATTTTCAAAAGTTATTAGGAGATATAAATTGGCTAAAACCTCATCTTAAGGTTACCATAGAAGAACTTAAACCCCTGTTTGATATTCTCTAGGGGGGGATGCAAGTCTTAATTCCCTTCAACAATAGCTTTGTAGAAAGTAGAATAAGCGGTTAGTTATCAGCAGATACATTAAATAGACTATGATCAATTGTTGGCTGTCTGAGTTATTGCTACTCATGTGCTCACAGCAGCAAAATAAATCATTAATATGGATTTATCCTTCTTCATCTACAAATAAAGTTTGAACATCATATTATGGAACTATTGCAGTGTTAATACAGTATTATAAGATAGAATCCCGAAAGTATTTTGGGTGAAATGTTTATTCCTTATTCCAAATAACAATTAAATTGATTATTGAAAAATACTGATATTTGGCCTATTACATGGCAAACTTTTTAGGTAAATTTGATAATCATTATCCATAAGAAAAGTTGTTACAATTTTCCTCTATGCATGCTTTTGTATTTCCTGTAAATTTGCATGCAGCAGATAGAAAAGATGTTTACTGTATTTACAGATGCCTCATCTATTGAGAAGGCAGTATATATAATTAGATCACATATTCACTCTCTTGAGTTTCCCCCTGCTTCAGCACAAATAAGTGAATTACATACTGTAGCCACTGTTTTAAATGCTGAAAAATTAAGCTTTCAATTTGTATACTCATAGCCAGTATATGGTTTATGGTTTATAATTGCTTAAAATTGTTCCTTTTTTTAGATATTGCTAATTCTCAAATTGTACTCTTATTTATACAAATACAGCTTAATTTAAGAAACATGCACTGTTCCTTAACTTTATAAGACATTTAAGGGCTCATATTGGATTGCCTGGACCCCAAGGCAATGCCACAGCAGATTTGTACACCAGGCAGATTATAGACCTTACAGAAACAATTGGCCGTACAATCTTATTCTTTACATCATCAAAATAGAAATAGCTTGAGATGATAATTTGGCATCTATAGAAAGTGTGCAAGTTAAATTGCAAAAACTTGTTCTCAGTGTCCTTAAATTTTTCATAATGGTGTTGAGCCTTGAGGACTTATACGTAATGAATTATGGCAAATGGATGTTACTCATTTTTGATTTTGGAAAATTAAAATATGTACATGTTACTTGATACCATTTTAGGCTTTCTAGTTGCAACTACTTTAACAAAAGAAGCAATTAAAAATTATAATTAGTTATTGCCTACATTATTTTTCTATGCCTGGTGTTCCATATCAGATTATCGACAAAGGAGTCAAACATTTGAGATGTTTTGTTGACAATTTAATATTATCCATATTACTGAGATTCTTTATAACCCAATGGGACAAGAAATTGTTGAACACGCACATCACACTCTAAAAAATTGGCTCATTAAAACTAAAAAGGGGGAATTATACCCCCAATGTCACCAAAAGCACATACTGCTTTTATGTTATTTGTTTTAAATTTTCTGCAAACTGATGCTAAAGGTCAGTCTGCAACAGATCACCACTGGCATCTAGTCACTTCCAGCTCATTTGCCAGCATCAATTGGAGAGCCCCCATAACTATTACATGGAATGGTCTTGACTCTGTTTTAATTTGGGGTTGTGGCTTGGTCTGTATTTTTTTCAGAAAAAAGAAACTGGAGCCCAATGTCTGCCTGAAAGATTGTCAAGTGGACACAGATCTTCAGCCTAATGATTATGATTCTCATGATGAAGATGGCTCGAAATCCTTATCAGCCAGCTAATTTAACCTGGCATGTAGTCTCTATCAATTCTTAAAGGTACCCACTATATACCTGGTGGCCAGACCTTGTGTCTAATCTCTGTCAACCAGCAGTTGGATTAAATACTGGGACATTTCTGCTTTCAACCTTATTTTCTACCTTTCTTGAATAATCACATTACTTTTAACCTTTGAACCTTGTATTTTAATCAGATTAATTGCCCTCACACAGGATCACTCTCAGCAAGCTCAACTATTCATCATGGCAGTTACCCATCGCTATGAAGAATTGCATCAAGTGCATGTCCACAGGTCCTTTAGTCTGAATGTGGCTTTGGTCTATATAGGAAAGAGTGTGCCAATGATGGCCAGTTAGTCAAAGATGGGTAAGAGTGTTCTTGAGCTCCTATAGACCTAAGACAGAGGCGGACATCAATATGCTATGTAAGTTTTCCTTGATGATGGGCAATAAGGAGCAATATAGATGCCAACCTAAGCCAGGCACAGTCGCTCAGCCACTCTTTACCATAGAAGGGATGAAATCTTGTGCCCTGTCCAGCTGCTGGCATTGCTCATCTTTATAAAACAAAAGAGGGGAATTGTGCCCTTCCCCCAGCCTTGAGTAGACCTGAAAGACCTTGTTTACCACAATAGGCCAAAAATAATAGGACCCAGGTGGTGTTACCCACCTTGGCTCCACATACAGCCTGCTACAGGAACTTAGAAGAACAGACTGCATGCTGAGCTTGCCTTGAGACACCTGTGACTAGGATGGGTTCCCCTCACCCACACTGGCTGAACCAAGAAGGGGTTTGGTGGTAGGGGTGGGGCTCCCCCTTTAAATTGAGAGTTGAACATTAAAGCATTGAGCCTCGATCAGAGAACTTTGTCTTGGCTCCATATTTTCTCGACCTCCGTCTTCCTTTCATTCCCAGCCCCCCTTTCAGGTGAACCCAGTTGATCCATGGCTGCAGGTGGCTACAGTTGTGTATAGCGGAAGCAGAGTTAGTTTAGTGATATAAATTGTAACTTTGGATTCAATTCTTTAAAAAAGAAGTTTTGTCGTCTGGGGTGAAAGTCAGGTATATTTGAAGAAAAGATAGAAGAGACTTAGTGTTAGGATGAAAGATTTGATGTAAGTAGCAAATAATTTTCTCAGCTAAAAGAGAGTTACATATGTGCTAGGTACAGCCCTGACCAATTGACAAGGTAGATGAAAAAGGAGATAAGGAGTCAGGTGCAGTGGTCAAGGGAATTTGCAATTGTAACAGACTGGGAAATAGAATGTTTCTTTATTTATACCAGTTTCACATGACACAGAGACTAATGGTTATCCAAAAAGTATAAATTATATCATTTTGTCTCTGAGCATATATATATATTTACAATATGTATTTACAATATGTATTTACAATATATATTTACAAGTTCAGTCACAATTAGAAAGTACAAATAGAAGAGATTTTATTTTTATTATTAACTCTGTAACTCCAATTCATCCATTTGGTAAAGGTTATCTTTACCTAATCAAACATATTTATTATATGACAGCCAGCTTTTAAACTGCCAGCTTTAACGCACTCTAGACAAACAGAAAATATCTGAATAAATGTTTGAATAAATAGCAGCTACTAATACCTAATTCCTTTTAATATGTCATTTCTTTATCTACACTATAATATAGAAAAATTATTTTAGTCAATATATCTTATTTACTGAGTTCTATTCCTCCATGGGTGTACTATGTATAATGCCCTATCTTTAAACTACATTTTTAGAGTGCTCTGAGCATATTGTAAAAGAAAGGTTAGAATCTGTTAATTCTCCTAGTCAGTCATAGTTAGTCAATTATTTTTGTTTTTGTCTACACTAATTATCCTGTTTGAGTCTGCTTAGGGAAAACACCCCAAGAAGACTTCCGAAGTCATGGCGTCAATTAGAAATTACTAGATATTGCTTATCTGAACTTATCACAATCTCCAGGTTATGAGGAAGACTTCCAAACAGTGACCAGATAAAATCATTTTCCTAAAAGCAGAAGAAAACAGCAAGTTTAAGACTTTCCCTGAAAGAATCAGACATAATTTTCTCTGGAAAAGGTATAAAATGAATCATAATGCAAAAGTCCCTAAGGATGTAACATGCAGAGACCAAAGCCTAAAAGTGAAAGATAGAGTGACAGTGATCACAGTACCCAGCTCAGCTTTGCTAGAACTTGGTCAAACAGCTATGGTGGTTTCATGACTTTCGACACTTCCAGTGGATATGGTTGTGCCAGGTATATTGTTATCTGAGTTATGTAGAAGGGTAGCCTGGAAGTGAGATAAGTCATAAGGTATGAATGGGCAGCTTGAAGGGCTGTCATGTCAGTGTGGTTATTGTTTTTACAGGAAAGAAATGTAAGTGATAAATTAAGAGTAGTTTGTGGGATAGAATCCAAGGCTGTAGGAGGGTTGGAGTTCTCTGTAAGTTAGGAGTTGAGAGAAGGGCAAGGGGAAGTACTTCTCTCTTATATACTTTATTCAAACTTGTCTGACTCACACTTCAGCAGATAAAACTGTTTTATAGAACTGAACCCACACTACAAAGTGTCTCAGTGAACTACTTCACTATACCACCCCTACTTTTAGCACTCATGAAGTTATATAAGTCTGAAGTTATGACCATCTAAGAAAATATTTGAAGGTATGTGAATACAAGTTGTAAACATTTGAGAATGCAAGTGCTTAGTTGGAAAAGTATGTAAATGCAAGTTCTAAGAAAATGTTTTAAGGACTGAAGATATAAAAGTCTAAATGATTTGTGAGGGTTTGAGAAAGTAATTAAAGACATATAAACAGTTATTTCAGATTTCTCTCTATGTTATTATTATACTAAACAAGGGACTAAATTTCCACACATGTCTATTCCTGAGAGTAAAATCTCTCCCCATTTCCCTGAGATCTCTCTCCCTTTATCTGGTCTTGGGACTCCTCTCTTCCAAATACCAGGACCATGAAAATTTCAAATGTATACCGAAGGTATTTTTTTCCTAAGTTTCTTAATTTTACCTTCTTGTCCTAATCCCAACAGATTTCAAATTGACTAAAAATTGCTTTAGTAAATACCAGCCCAATATAGTCCCTCAAAATCTGCATCCTAGACAGCTCCAAAGTAACTAACACCAAACAGGCCATCCAGCCTTTAAACTGCTCTTACACTTCCCTCCAATGCTCTGTGCATTTCCATGGACACAGATGTCCCACAGAGCCTGAACATTAAACAAAACAGCCAACTCTTCATGTTCTTGACCAACACTCCAGCTTCCTTGAGTCTTTAACATAAGTGCCCAGCAGGAAGTAACCAGGGTGAACACCCAGAGATCCAATAATAAAATGAAAAGGTGGAATGAAGGGCTCTCTAACAGACTGAGTATAGCAAGCATGGTGTCAACAGGTTTTATCTTTCACTCCTTTTTCCTCTCATTTGCTAAAAACCATTATATTGCATTTCTAAGCTAGCCCTCAAAGACCCATTATCTTATTTGGCTGTTGACTCATTCCTGAGCAAAACACTGAAGTCCAACAATCAAAATATATTACTTGGCAAACATGTCCAACAAGGATTTACAAATTTATCCTAGCACAGACTCCCCCATTTTCTCCTTTAAAAACCTAGTACTAACAAAACAAACAAAAAACAAAAATAAAAGTAAATAAAAACAAAACACATCACACCTTGTTGCTGCTTCGATTGTCCCTTTCTATTTGTTACTGTTGATGCTCCTTACTGGTCTGCCTTTTATCTGCTTGATCCAGAGGCAGGCACTCCCCCCACCTTGCCCTTCAGTGTAAAAAAAATCTCTTTTGTGCTGAGAACTTGGGATTTGTGTGTGTCCTGTACCAACCGGGTGTGGGGGGTGGGGTAGCTTCTCCTTTATGGGTATTACTGGGCTTACAGTTAGTACTGCGCCTTGGGGTACTGCAGCATAAATACCATCATATTGCTCTGAAGAAACAATGTGCTTAGAAAAACAAGGAAGGAGCTGTAACTGTACTAGCCTTTTGGCCAAGAGAATGAAGGAAGCCAAAGAAAAATGCCAAGAGCAGGTTTCCAAGAGACATAGGCTGATTTAGTAAGAGCTTTTACTTCTGAGTCCAAACAAAGTCTTTCAGAGTAACAAACTGTCAGATCTTGAAAAATAAATAACTAGGCATAGGTTATTTAGTCCCAGTAAAGGCCACTGGCCAAGCATCTGCCAACTGTGCAGGCACAAAGATGCAATCTGGCACATTCAGACAATATATGCTGACATAAGCACATATACAGATCAGTTTACAACATTGAAGATGATAGGCCTACAGAGAAACACTCATAGGAAGGCTTCTAAACTTGAACGCTGTTGATGTTTTGCCTGTTGTTTGTATTATAATGCTAAATTCTGTACTCAAATGTCTATGAGTCATTTCTCAAGTTTATGAGCTTTTGTTGTGCAAAACGTATTCCTTACTTTAAAACTATTGGTTAAATAAAATTTGCTACAGCCAATTACTGGAGAGATTTGAGGTAGGTGGGTTTTGAGTTATCTGATTGGCAATGGAGAAGCAAGAGGACGGGAGGAAAGACCGCGAGGAGAGAGGAAAAGGCATCTTGAGAGGAGATGTACCATGAGCACTTGGTCAGGAGAAACAGCAAGAATTTGGGGTACACTGCTGGGGAGGTAGCCAGCCCAGGAGTTAGAAAAGTAGATTAAGAGTTGTGCACACACACACACACACACACACACGCACACACACACACACACACACACACACACAAGTAACTGACAAAGCCAAATTAAAAATGATTAAATAAATAACAAAACAAAAAAAAACTTAGTCTGAAACTTAAGTATTATTAAACTAGTCAGGGATAAGTTTAAATTGGATGTACTACATGTTGGTTCGCAACATGGGACAAAGACTTACTTAGAACCCAAGTTTAGATTACAGGTATACCACGTAGAGTCACAACACTCCCTAAAAACAGTGCTGCTATGAGGAGTTAGGTCAGTCCTTTGAAGCTAAGGCTGTTTGGGACCAGCTCCTGGGAAGGCTTTGTACTTCTGTGGCTGCTGATAGAGATAGAGGCTATAGTTCTCCTAAGAGCTACATGCCGCTCTGGAAAGCCAGCACTCTGCTTGGCAGAAATCACATGTAATTCTGAGGCCCTTGGGGGAAAAAAATAACAGCAGCCAAATCTGGACCTACTGAGTCCCCTGCCCTTTGTCTGGTGAGAGGCACAAGCTCAACCAAGCATGACAGGGTACATGAGCCAAAGACTAATGGTGGATGTCCAGGGATGAAGGTCTAAAATTACAAAGGAGCGTGGCAGGTCAAAGAGACCTGGCCAGGGATTGCAAAAGTCAGATAGCAAGGACCCCTTTGGAGCTCACTAACACAGCACAAGGTACAAACTAAAAAGTCCCAAGAGGATAAAGTGATATGGAATTCAGTTTAAAGAACAGTAAAAGAGAAAGGAAGCTAAGTATAAAAAAAAATCAGAGAGAAATATTTAATTTAAATACAAGAAAATAAAGTCCTTAGGGAGAAAATTTGAAATTAAAATGGAAAAATGTTTACTCTATTTCGGATGGAGGGAAGCATGGTGACACACTGCATTTAGATTTCATATGATCATTCTTTGCTTAGCATACAAGTGGCTGTTTTTCAATGACTACAGTTTTGTAAGTCCTCTTTGGGAGAGATCAGAATAAGACAGACTTGGAGAAAGAAGAGACTGAGAAATTAGATACTGGATTAGAAACCATAAAACAGATGTTGAAAGAATCTTTAAATCAAAATAGAAAACCCTCAGAGTAATCCAATCTGGAACTTACAATAACATTAACAAATATAGTTCC